CCTCTTTAGTATTAGGTAGGCAAAAAGGTCCTGGGGTGGCCTGGAAGTGTGATACAGAGGACTGTCTTTATAAAGGAGATTGTAAACCACTAACAAGAGGAAGAGGTGTAAAAGGATGGTATTCTTTTTGTTTACAGATGTAGGTTTTTATTTCAGTATTAAAAAATTGTAGCCTGTACTTGAAAATCCTGTGCAGGTTCTCCTCCGCTTCTTAAATTCTGTTTGAGCTGGGGTGTCACTGCCTGGTTTCATTGCCAAGGGAAGTTTATGGGCAGAAGTTTAAATAAAATTATTTTGACTCTTAAGATCTCTTCACAGAGAAGAAATTTTCTTTTTGTGTTGTTGTATGTATGTTTTGCCTTCAAAATCTTTAAATGACTGCTATTGTTTTCAGAGTCATGTGTGAGAAATAAACATTTTAGAAGATGGTTAAAACATTTTGAGTATGTGATTATAGGGAGGCAGCAGGGTCTTGTTTTTGTTTGTTTGCTCACTCGAGAAACATTCATTGCTGTGCCTCTCTTCTCTTGGATGTTGTGATTACTCAGAGGCGGTTAGTTAGAAAACTCTCTTTCCATCTTGGTTTTTCTGTTTCCGTTTGCAGTGAACGGTCAGCCTGCAGTGCGCTCTGGCAGCTGTGCTGCACATTGGTGTTCAGACCACTTACCAGTACTCTGGGTTGCCTCTGCTCTTTAAATGACTCAGTGTGAGAGTCAGAACGATGAATCCCAGAAGACATTGTGACTGGCTCCCTATTTTTGGTGATGGTTTTTATTTAATTTACTAGGTCCTATTAGGTAGGCAGATATTAACAGCTTGAGAAATGCTAAAGGAATGTTAGTTCCGAGCGTGACATTTTTACAAGAAAATAGTTATGAACTCACTAAAATGTTAATTTAGTAATGTTAAACAGATTTTTTTTAATACCTTGCTCCTCTTATTTTCTACCCTGTATTTTTGCCTTTATAGTGGGAGATTATGAGCTGTTCTAAAAAGTGAAAAATTAAAATTAAACAATAATAAAATAAAAGGAACCATTTATGGAACATTTTCTATATATCTGACATACTGATGATTGATTATCTCATTAAATTCACCCTAAACCCATATGAATTTGGTGATGTTATCCCCATTTTCAGGTGAGATGAAAGTTCAGGAGGTTAAATGACTTACACAAAGCCAGACTGTGGTTAGATGGTAAGAGCAAGAATTTGAACAAAGGTCTGTCTGGTTCCAGGTACAAAGTTCTCAGCCACTATATCACATTGCCTCTATCCTGCTTCTGAGGGGTAGACCTCTCAATAGGTGTGCAGAAGAAATAGTGGTCTGGTTTTCTTGTTTGCTTTGGTTGCTCATTTGTTTTCTGTCTGTGTCTTTCTTCTGTCCAGTGCATAACATACACTCAATAAATATTTATTGAATGAACAAGTGTGTACTACTAACCATGGAAAACGGAAGTGAACTGATACTTATGTTTATCAAGTTTTTGTAAGTATATGCTGTATTTGTAAATACAGCAAAGTACATCATAGACTAATATTTATCAGGGTTATTTGTGGCATATAGAGATATTTGAATAAGAATAAAACAGTTACAGTCCCCTATGACTTCTGGAAATTATCAGTGGTGTAAATGTTCATCTCTCTCTTTCTAACCAGCCTCCCCTGCTCCTGGTGTTGGCCCTCCTTGCTTCCACACTGCTGTCAAATACTCTTTCTCTGTTTCTCTTTCTTTTTCTCCTCCATCCCCCCAGAAAGTGCTATTTTTATACCATTTGCTTTTGTATATTCCACTTCCTTTGGATAGAATTTCCTTCCTCATCTCTTTGGTGACTTTTTTTCTTAACCATTGAGTTCTTGGCTCAGGTGTCTTTTCTGACTCCTCCAAACCCAGCTAGGCTGCTTCTGTGTTCCCCTCAGAGCACTTATCATGCTGATGAATTGAATAATTGGGTATAAGTCTGTCTGTGTTTCTTTGAACAGCTTGTATAATAAGTTCTGTGAAGGCAGGCACTTGGGTGTTTCATCTGTCTGTGTCACAGAGCCTTACATATGGTTTGCATACAGTAAGTATGGAAAGAGAAATGAAACAATATAAAGGGTATAGCTTGCGTAGTCCTGCCATAAATTCTAGAAAACCATCCCTTCTTAGAGATGGAGGACACCCTATTTGTTCCAGACCTTTTTAGAGATGAAGGTGACACCCTGAGGTCATACAACTAAATAATTAGCAGCAGAGCTAAAAAACAGGACTCTTAAATCCCAGCCCTGTGTCCTTTCTTTCATTGTTTTTTGAGAAAAAAACTTTTTTGTTTATTTTAAAGAGAAGAGTTATTTAGTGTAGGAAATGTAGAAGATAACAGGTAAACAGCAGGGGGAGAGAAAATAAAATCATCCTATTCCCATCACTCAGATAGTGGCTGTTCTTCCACTTTCTTCTGTTTACGAAGACATATTTATGTATGTGTTACATAATTGTGTGATGACAACAGCTTGCATGTACTGAATGTGTATAGACTAGGCACTGTTTTAAGTGTATTAACTCATTTATTACAGCAACACTTTGAGGTGAATACTATTATTCCCACTGAATGGAGGCAAAGAAACGTTCAAGATCTCAAGGTCACACGGCTAGTAATTTGCAGAGCCAAGATTTAAACCCAGGCAATCTTGCTCTAGAGCCTGTATTCTTAACTATTCCATTCTGCCTCTGTGTGTAATATTTCATAATCTGCTTTTTAAAAAATTGAGATCAATTTATATATAACAATGGTCACCCTTTTTGCGGGTATGGTTCAATGAATTTAATTTTTTTAAATCCTAACTCAAGGATATGTTTATTGATTTTAGAGGAAGGGGAAGGGAGGGAGAGAGAGAGGGAAACAGAGATGTGAGAGAAACATCAATCAGTTGCCTCCCATATGTGCCCTGACCAGGGAATGAACCCGCAACCTTTTGGTATAGGACGACGCTCCAACCAACTGAGCCAACCTAGTCGGGGCCAGTGAGCTTTGATGAAAGCTAAACCACCATCCCAATCAAGATATATAAAATGTGTCCATCAAAAAAGTCCCGTCATGCCTGTTTGTAGTCTCCTTCCCCATTCCCAACTCCTGGCAACCTCTGGTCTTATTTCTGCCCTTACAGTTTCACTTTTTCCTTAATTTCATGTAAATGCAATTATTCAGTAGTAGCCTTTTGTGTTTGTTTTCTTTCACTAGCTTTGGAGGTTTGTATATGTCGTCTGTAGCAGGAATTGGGTTTCTTTTTTTGTATGGATATACCACAATTTTTTGTTCTGTTCGCAAGTTGAAAGACATTTGGGTTGTTTCTAGTTTTTAGCAATTAAAATAAAGCTGCTATGAGTATTCATGTACAGCTCCTCATGTAGATGTATGTTCTAATTTCCTTTTGTTTAAATATCCAGGAATATGATTTACTAGGCTGTATGGTAAGTGTAGTTTAACTTTATAAGAAATTTCTGAACTGTTTTCTAAAATAACATTATTATTTTGTGTTGTCTCCAGTAATGTCTGAGAGTTCCACATGGTCCTCATCTTGGCCACAAATTATTTATTGGTAGTATAATATTTGTATTCTAACACTAGCCAAGTATATAGCAAGTCTTCACGTAATGTTGCCAGATGGGTTCTGCGGCCTTATGCTAAATGATGTATAATGAAACCAATCTACATAGGCTAATTGATAGAAACAAGAGTTCAGTTCCTATGACATCTCATCAATATTATGATGAAAGGATGTTATTTTGAGGACCTCCTGTAATTTAGTATGGTCTTGTTGTGGAAAGGTGTTAAATTAATGCTTTCTGATGTATATATTTTCATTTCCCTTTTTCTTTCTTATCCATTTTACAGATATTCACTGAGCATCTTATAATGTGGGGGTGGGGCGGGCGAAGATGGCCAACTCTATTCTCAAGGCCCCCTGGTTGGCCCTTTGGGTGGGAGCTGTGGTAGATGATGGTAACAAAATTGATTCTTATACTTTACCTATTTTTTCTACTGGAATGAATTGCCCAGTGTAGAGGTTTTTGTTTCCATGCCCCTACACTATATGTTTTGCTCAACTTTCAAGTGCTAAAGAACCTTACGAGAAGAATCTGGTGGCACATCTGGCTCCAGCTGTGCTACCAGCCTTATTTTCCATCCCCCCACCCCCCATAGTTGAAAATGTTGGTCAATGTCATGGTGGCAGCTGTTTCCTTAATTAGCTGGGTAGGTTTTCCAATTCATTCTGTTGGTGTAGCTGCCCTGGTTGCCCACCTAGTGATTTGAGTGATAGGACTATGCTATCTAAGGAGTAAAGTCAGATTGTGAGGTAAGTTGAGGTCCACAAGATAAAGGTATGAATCTCAGATCTTGGTGAGCTGACGCTCTTGTCACAATCCATGGTCTCTGACGCTAACCAGCATCTTTAAGAGCCTTTCTTTTCTTTCTAAATGAAAAAAATCACATATGTACCAAGCTATGTCTTCTTTTGGGGATTTTGTCAGCAAAATATTTGCAGATTGCTAAGAAGCTTCTGTTTATTCATTTGTTCATTTATTGAGCACAGTTGCCCATTAACTATTGTGTTTAATGGTACTTTTTTCAATGCTGTGGTATGGCTTATTTCAAAGTAAATTCTTCTTAGTTTTTCTCTGTACCTCCTTCTCCTCCCAGTTTGGTATCTTTCATCTATATAAACATTTTAAAAACAAATGCCAAATGAAGTAAAATAGTGCAGTGTTTTAACTCTTTGTTCCTCTTCGGTGCAGACTCTGCACAAGAAGGGAAGGAGGCAAAGGAGAGAAGAGGGAACCTGGTCATGTGGTGCTGCTTGTCTGGCAGAAGCCTTTCAGTTCTGAGCAGAGAAACCAACTGTTTACTATTTTGGGTGAATGAGGTTGGTTGGTGGTGGCTGCGAGCATTTTCTCTAAGGGAACCCTCTTCTCTTCCAGGTCTACACATTGAAATCAGTCCTGCTTTTTGGCATTTGGGTAGAGGAGGGAGGTGTCTGTCTCGAGGCCCAGTGCTGACAGGAAGAAATGTTTTCCAGGAGACTTACTGATTCTGACCTTCTGCTGTCACTGCTTTTAATGCCCACTCCCTAAGGAAACTTGGGATGTAGCTGTTCTTGCAGCCCTCAGTGCTGCAGAAATGAAGTACCCACTTTAACCTAAAGAGCAATGCTAATCAGATCTTCAGCAAATACTAAATGGCCTCTTTAAGGAGTGAGGGAAGAAAGACGGGTTTATTGCAACACTGCCCTTTGGAGTCTCACATCTCCCCCAGCATACTGAAGGAGAAGACCAAGAATTATCAACACACGTGCAGGATTCTGCCACTCTCATGGATTGTCCTGAAGCCGGGAAAGGACAGCTACTCGGCAGTGTGCCTGGCCCCTTATCACAGTTTGCGGGAAGGTTGGCATATTTGTCTCTTTGGGATTTGCATGTTTTTTTTCCTCCTCAATTTACTTCTGTCTTTTTTCCACTCCCCATTTCTCTGTAGCCATCCAAGCTCTGACTTTTGGTGGTTTATTGTCCCAGGGTTTTTATTAAAGCTCTTTGAGCTCTGAACAGATACATAACTACAAATGATACTTTAGGGTGCATTTCATGATCTGATTGTACAGTATTCAGGACATTTTACTTTCTTACTCCTCTCTTTCTACCCATGCAGAACTCATATACCAAATCAAGATTATGGAAGAATAATGAGAAACTCCTTTAGTCAGGTGGGATTCTTCCCCTTTATATGGGTCTAGTACAGTGTTTTGTCAATAAAACATACTTTGGCTATAGGTACAATACCATACAAATAAACAGGGAACTATTGATGATTATGACTTCAGTTTCTTCTATACTAAATACTGAAAGTGGATAGATGACCTCTAAGGTCTTGTAACACTAAGATAACATAATTTTTACAATTTTTAAAAAAAGATTTTATTTTTTAGAGAGAGGGGAAGGGAGGGAGAAAGAAAGGGAGAGAAACATGGATGTATGAGAGAAACACTGACTGGTTGCCTCTTTCATGCAAGCAGCTGGGGACCTGGCCCACAACCCAGGTGTGTGCCCTGACCAGGAGTGGAACCGGTGACCTTTTGGTTCGAAGGCTGACACTCAATCCACTGAGCCACGCCAGCCAGGGCGATAACATAATTTAAAGTAAAATAACATTTGGAAGCCTTTTTACTTGTATTTCATGTTAGTTTTGGTTCGGGTGAACAGTTCAGACTGCCCTTACTAATTTTTTTAGTAATTGTAGAATGACTTTAGAATTTCATTCAGGGGTATGAAAGATAGCAGGAAACTCTTAATTAGGTTTAATCACCCATAAAGGAATTTTCCTTTGTGAACATCCATCTTTTAATTCTTGAAACTGCAAAACAAACAAACAGACAAACAAACAAACAAACAAAACAACAATCCACGGATACATTTGAGTTCTGCAAAAAAGTTCAGTTTTAAATTTGAAGAAAACTCTCTCTGAAGAGTTCTGGGTTATGGAAAAAGGGCGGATAGGGACTTTATCCAAATTCTGTTAAATGTGACTGGAAAAGAATTATCAGCATTTTTCCTCTCCTATCTTGGATACCCTCTATTATCCATTACCAGAATTTATTTATATATATATATATATATATATATATATATATATATACACACTTACTAGTGTCGATTACATAAGTTCTACTTTTCTAAGTAGAATTGTCTACTTAGACAATTCTTTTGAATTTTTTAACACTTTTGGGTGATTATGAACATCTGACAAGATGGTTTGAGCATGTGGAATTGGCAGTGAAAGAATCCACTGAAGAAATGAATGATTATCAGTGCTCAGTTTGCAAAGAGAATAATTTACAAAACTGGTTGAGAGCAGTTGAGTTTTCTTTGAATATGTGGATGTGTTCTGCGCTAATGTCTAAGAAACAGCACAGCAACAGTAGTAGAGGGAAGATTATTTGAAAGCCAGAGGGGTCGTATGGCTTAGGACTTGTATCTTTGGGCTGTTTGTTGCTGTTGACTTTTTGTAATCCAAAGGAGAGGATTGTGGTGTTTTAGAGTCTTAATCGGAGAATTAAAGAATATCTTTGTTTTACATGTAGAAGTACATAGGAATTAGAAATGCAGACTTTTCATAAGTAGGATCAAAATGGTAATTATGGACAACTACCATAAACAATTGACTGTGTTTTTCTATTTTTTTTTTTTTTAACTGTGCTTAGAACCTGCACTTAGAATCTGAATGTCTACTGGATCTTGAGAAGACGCACTTAATGTGTTCTACAGATATAAATACACATTGTTTGTAAATTGCAGAAAAGAAATAAATTATGCATTAGGTAGTGAAAGTATAAAGGATGTCTCATGGTACTCCTTTGGGGCTGAAGCAGGGTTTTGAGGGATAAAGATAAGGTCTTCCTTCAAAAACTCAAAGATACACAGACAGTGGTAATGAGTCTTCTTAGTCTTGTGTTTTATTATTGTAGATGAATCCCTAACAATCTTATTCGTTTGTAGTTTTCTTAGTTCTGTTTTTCCTAATTAAAAAAAAGATTTTAAAGGCTGCCACACATTTTAAAAAATAATTGTTTAGGATTACTAGGAGGCCACGTGTGATACTTTTCTCATTGTTTTCATTGACAGTTGGATATGCCCGGAAGGATAGGAACCAAACTTTTTAATCCACCTCTTATGGCATTAGGACCTATGTTTTTTCTTAATAGACTTTGGCAAGGATCAGATACGCATTTTTTAGAAAGAGTGAGCCATGAAAGATTGATGTTTTGTGGTTTAATGCAACTTTCTGGTACAGCATGGCCCAGTACTATATCTGTACTTTCCAGTATGGTTACCACTAGCCACATGTGGCTGTTGAGACTTGAAACATGACTGGAGTGACTGAGAAGCTGAAGTTTTAATTTTGATTAAATAGCATATGTGGCAAGTGGCTACATTATTGGATAGCACAGTTCTAGACCCTACACGGTCTGATTTAGCCAGCGTTTCCAGCTACTTTCCACTACCCCCTTTCACAAACTTAATGCTGCAGCTAAACTGGAGCGTATTAATTATGTTCTTATAGTATTTCCTACCTCCAGGACTTGGTTCATGCAGTTCATCTCTGGTTTATGAAGTCCTTCAAAGGTGATTTATATGCTGCTGCTCCCATGTAGTTTACCTAATCCTTTTTGTAATCTGGTAACTTATGATATCTACAAACCCTTAAAGCACTAATATCACTGTCTTTATTACAGTGATTTCTTTTACATTTCTGATGTTCTCTATTACATTTATAAATTTCTTGAGCTTATATAGTTTTTACGGTTGTAGGTGTATAGTAGACTTAACCTTTTCTCTTTCTTTCCCCTTCCGAAGTGCTTAGCAAAGTGTGTTTGTTTATACATAGAAGGTGGTTAATATGCATTAACTGAGTTAGTCTACTGAGGTAACTGTGCTTCCTGGCACTAGAGGGCAGTATCATGCCCGTAAACAAAATGTGTTTATCCAAAATGACAGCTTTATTGAGTCTCATAATGATTCTAGCCTTCATAAGGAACTCACATCTTTTATTTGTAAGTGTTAATAATGAATAACCTTTTTCCATAATTGTCTTAAATTAGATTCAAAATATGATGTTAAACCAGGAAGTTGGTAAGATTCTTGCTAAGAAAAAACTTGGTAGCTTGGAGAAACACCAACCAAGGCATTAGGTAGGAGAGAGTAATTTCTTCAGGATGGAAGCCTTTTTCTGATAGGTAGCTAATGTTCCAGTACTGAGCTGATAGTCAAAAACCTGAAACTCTTGCTTTGATCTTGCCATGGTGAGCTTGGCTATGTTGCTTTAAACTTGGCAAGCCAGTTTCTTTTGTTGTATAGTAGGTGTGATGTCTGCCACTAATCCATAGGGTCAGATAGGGTTACATGTGTGAAAGTAGCTCTGTAAAGTATTACCTAAATGTATGGGTTATTTTCCTTCTCAATTCCTACCTTATACCTTGTACCAAGGAATATACATAGTAAATGATTGAGTATAAATATTTTTGACATTAGTTTTTTTACATTTTAGGTAAAGAGTATACTCTGTTAAAGGTTGATGAGAGATAAATTGATAGAATTACTCTCACCTAGGCTGCACACACTGAGAAGTGATAATAGTCACAATAGTTTGGTTAACACATATCCTGTCCTTTGATGTTATGCAACCTTAAAATGAACTGTATGTGATGTGTGTGAGTAAATTATATAGAGTTTAGACTCTTTGTGGTCCCCTCTCTAGTGGATTTATTTTTTTATGCCTTCTACCCTCCTTAATATTAACTTAAAATATTCAGAATAATCTAATTATTGTAAGGTTATTGAACTTCTTATAGAAAACCAGGTTCAAATACAATTACTTAGCCAAACTGGTGTAGTTGGAAAATATGCATATTTTCCTGCCAGTTTTGTGGGTTAGAAAAGAAGCAAGCTATTCAAAAAGAGGGTGATGTAGTGGTTGCTTTTTGTTGAAAACAACCACCAGCCTGAAGTCTCCTCTTTTAAATCATTAGATATATCAAATAAAATGTTCAGCTGAAGTTCATGCAATATCACAGTTACCAAACACTCTTGCCAAAGAGAATTGCAGTCATAATATCTGCAATCGAATCATTTCCTGTTCAGGCTTGCAGGTGGGGAGCTAAATGAAACTGCAGTTCTCTAAGATTAGTTATAAAGAGAATGCCTTGGTGGGAGAGGTCTTGATGGTATTAAATGACACCCTAGCAAATGTGGGGATAGAGAGGGTACCCTAGGATCCTGGAACTAACCACACTTAAGGAATAGATCAGCCTGTGCAAGCCCACTCCCATGGGTGATCTGACTAAAGCCCTGCTGGGGCACCAGATATGTGCTGATCACACTCGGGCAGTGGGCCAGGCAGATGGCACATTCCTGCACCGACCTTCGGACGCTTGCCAGGTTACAAAGCTGGCATTAGAGGCATGGCTGTTCTCTGGCATGAACAACCCAGAGAGCCTGCATTTCATCTAGCATTTGGTCCTCTCCAATTGAGGGGATGCCTTGGAACCGGTTTGGTCTCTGAGGCCACTTAGGAGTTGGCGTGCATTCTCATACCCCTTGCCCCTGCCCTATCTTAGAGTTGAAACTTACTGTCAGCATAACCCCAGAACTCACTCACACCCTCTACGTGATTCCTCCAGACTGGGGATGACCCAGGGTTAACCGCTGAGATGCCATGACTCCCCTCCCTTCCCACACCAGTCTGTCCTCATTGACCCACATGTTTAGGTTTGACTAAACCTTCCATCAGAGAATAGGTAGGGGCTAGGCAAGTTAGGCTGCAACTTGTCCCTTCGTTTGCTTCAGTGCATCCCTTTGCACTGGGTAAAGGAAGGTTGGGTGTGACCCACTCCTTA